TAGGATTGCTTGTCCAGGAATTTATATTTAAATTTGAGATTGTACTCTCTGCTTTTACTGCATCCCATTTTGATGTTCTAATTTCTATTTGTTCACTTCCACATTCATCTATACATATTTTGTTTTGTTCTTTTCAGTCAAGTCAAATCATATACTCCAGACATATATAAGTGCTCAGTACATATTTAGTCAATGAATTAGACAAAATATATGCAGGGTTCCATAGCATAATACATTACTAGCAACCTATTTGTTAAATATTAAGTGATAAATAGGTTGTGTTTTTTGTATTTTTAATTGTATTTTTGCATTTAGTCACAATATTTGACCACATAGTATCAACATTTATAAAGAGCTTTCTACTCAGTTTAGGTCACACACAGAGACTTACACCCAATATTCCTATTGATTTCATACTTAAGATAACTAGGCTTTCATTATTTATAATATTTTAATTTTTAATTCTTTTTTCTTTGTAAAAACATAAACAAAAGCAGTGGTTAGTACATTGATCCTTTGACTTCCTACCAAAACTGAACTATTCCCAGTAAACAGAATTTCCTTTTTAACTGTCATACAAATGCTAGATTTCAACCAAGAGAAATCACTTAATAATGATAATATATAATCTTTGAAAGTGGAAGTCCATGAAATTTGAAAAGCTTTGTACATGTAATATTATAAGGAAAAATATAACATTTTATTCTCTCAAGAAGCTGCCTTTCCTTTCCCCTTACAAATGGATTTGTGCCTTCTCTCAAGCCTCCACGGTTCATTTAACCCTTTATTGTTTCTCATTTCTTTTATCTTTTTTTAGTTGCATTACTTAAAATTTCTTATACAGCCCACCATTGGGCATACTGTTGATTTCATTAATGATGTATTTTAATTTATTTTGTCATATTAGGACAATAAATGTGGTGTGGAGGCGTGTCTATTCTGAGGTAGTAAAGGCTCCCTAACAAGTACAGACAATGGCACATGGCTCTTTTACTAGATAGAGTTCTTGAAATGCTGGTCTGACAGTAGTACTACTGCACCTTGTAAATGGGGAGATATCTTATCGTGGTACTACATGAATGCAACAAGACAGATTATTCCCCACTTCGTAGTATATGCTCAAAACATTTATTCTGATAATCCAATAAGGTAGGATGTGACATTCATTAGAAATTATTTATTTTCAGAATTGAGAAATCCTGAATTATTATAATACAAGGGAATATATCAAAGAGAAATGGTCAACCTGTGGTGTTATACTCAGAACTTCAAAGACTTTTGAAATGCCTATATTAATAGCATTTTCTAGAGTGAGTCTCCATCATAGATATTTTGCTACTTATGGATAGCAAATGGAATCTAGTAATGTTCCTGAATAATTAACCAACAAGATTCATTTATAGCAGGAAGCCAGTGAAGATGATATTAATATTCAGGATACATAGAACATAAAGCACAGGGATCTTTAAATCATGGGTGAATTAAGATGGAAGCAACATGTTGAACATAACACTTTTCCCCATAAAGCAATTTCCATGTCATATATTATTAAGCTGATGCAAAACTACAGAGCCAGAGCTCAGTTTTCTGGGCCCCATCAGCCTCCTGTTTATCTTTAAATAAAACACACACCTATGTGCTTTGCTGGAGTTGTTATGGATAAGGTCAGCTGAGAGGACGTGCCCTCCCACCCATGCATGGTGATGACCTCACTATATCTGTTTCACTGGTGGGAACACTCTTCTTTTTGAAATCTTAATAATTTTCTGATGAGCATATTTGAGAAATACTGCCATATTGATATTTAATGCAGTTCAAAGAGGATTTAATGCTTATCCCCCCAGTGAAAGGTTCTGTTCTGCCGGATTTATACCAAAGATAATAATAGGCTTAAATTGTATTATATTTTAAAAATTCATCACAGGATTTTCACATCTGTTCTCTCATTTGATTCTTTCCCCAGCCCACCAAGCTGAGTTAAGTGTTTTCTTATCCCTACTTGAGGTTCTGAGTTGCTAAATGACTTGTCAGAAGATGGAGTTTCAATGAGGAACAGGCCTAAAAGTTATGTACTGTGACCCTCTTTCTATGTTTCCAGGTCATCAAGTCTGCATTAGAACGTAAGCACCACTGCTTACTACTCCATAGGTGCAGACAGAACACACCAAGGAGCTCTTTAAAAATATAGTGCTGAACCGCATACCTAGAGATTCCACCTGAGATCAGAGGCAAGGCCTGGTCTCTTCTTAGACATTACTCACATGTGATTCTGAGTCTGGTTAGTAAGCTTTCCTGGACATCCATTCATTCGTACAATATTGTTCCCTGGGAATTTTACTTTTATATACTTTATTGTCTTCTTAATAGATTGCTATTCTTCTCAAATTCATCAGTCTTTTCTTTATGGTGTAGTTATTCTTAAAGTAGTCATATTCATTGTTTTTTTTTTCTTAAGCCTCATAAAAAAACAATTCTCTAATCCAAATCTTCCCCCCAAATATTTACAGTTTAAAAAAATCCCTTCATTTCCTACAACACAATAAAATCCCCAATAAAAGGAAATACATAATAGATAATGAAAATAGGAGACATCCTGTATAACAATAAATAAAATATAAATTTATGTAGCATGACATTTTAAAATCTGAAATTGGTAAAAATGAATAAATTTACTTAAAAGTGTATTGGAAAGAATGAAAAGAAATTGCCAAATTCATATAGAAAACTATTATTGATAAAATGTCTTTGGTATTGAAATTGGCACTGTTTTTCAAAAGTAAAAGTATATGTTATCTGTGATCCACCAAGTCTCCTTCTTGGGTATTCATAAATCTTTGCAATAAGGATGTCTGTAGCATTATTTATAATAGAAATTAGGCCATCTAAATGTCTATTTATAGGAAAATAGTTAAATATGTTATTATAAATTAATAAAAGTATGGAAAAGTAATCGATATACATGTATACTTACATGGGATCAGCTTCAAGTTATTTTAAGGCTACTAAAATTTAAAGTTAAAATAAATCATATATGCATTCTGTCCCTATTTGAGTACAGAAAGACATAGAAATGTAGAATGACTATGTGCATATTTGTAAGAACACTAGTATTTCTGTAAGAATAAACTACAAATCATTAGGCATTTGAGGAAAAACCTGGGATGTTTGAGGTGGAAAGAAAAGTACCATTTGAATATTTTAAGTGTTTATTAATTTACAAAATGCAAAGCAATTAAAACAAAGATTTTAATGCATAAAATGATAACTACAAAATAGAATGAACGAGCTTTAAACTATGATTTTAATCAGAGGAAATATTTGTATCATAATACGACTACTAGAAAGCAACAAAACTATCCACTCACAACTGATATAATACATGTATTTATATTTCCTAAAGATCAAATATATTTCCAAGATGTTTCTATTATTTCTATTTGAAAAATGTAGTTCTATATTTGGGCAACCTCCCTAGTCATTTTCAGCTCATAATTCTTTACTCAATTTATCAATTATGAATTTCTGAATGAAGTATAATTTTTCAAAATCAGAAAATTGTGAAAACTAAACAGAACCTCAGAGATTTCACAGCCCCATCTTCTTGTGGGGATGAAGAAACAGATCTTGTAGGACTTTTTTTTTCTCCTATTCTGTACAGTTCATTCATAGCAAAATTTAAGTTTCAGTTACAGTGAAATTTAATCTTAAGTAAACTGAGTAAAGGAATATAAGATTTTCAAACTATCTGTGTATCCTGTTGTTGTTTGTCTTTGGACAAATTCTTCTCTTTTCTAGCATCCAGTTTTGTAAACTTTGAAATGATTGCTTGAACCCAGTGATACTACTGGAAATTATTTCACATTTATTGATAATAACTTAAGAAAATCATTCATTAACTCAGGATCCTATTAATTTTAATTCCAGTCTCTGAACTTGTAAGCAAGTGTCTTTTCCAGTTTTCCAAAATTCCTCCATCTGTTTAAACGCTCCTGTTTCAAACATGTTAAGTCACATTAACATATGTTTAAACAGTACTCAAACAGTGTATTTTAATTCTTGTGAATGTTAAATTAGGTAAACTCTGTGGTCTTCTCAGTCTTCAAATGTGGCTGAAGTCTACCTAATGCTTCCTTTCATTGATTACATACAGTGTAAATTGTTCTAGAGAAATACTTTTGCAAGTTCTCTTATGGCTTTATGTCCCTTGATCCACAGGATGGTCCAAGCTCTATATTTCCCCTTGGAAATTAATTAACCCTTGTACTTGAACAGTAGATTTAGAGAAGGAATAAGTGAAAGTAAGTATTTCAGACCTGCAGAAACTATTCATATTGCAATTTAAAATGCTGAATTTTCAGACCCTGGGAAGTTGTAATACAAACGGAACGCAACCTGAAAAACTGATATGGGCAGTCTGCCAGGTTGTGTACTGCTGCCAGACGCAATGTAATCCACCTTTCTTTTTAGGGTGAGGCAAAGGTGACCCAGATAACAGCATGTAGAAAGCAACCTGTCATTTTGCAATTCAGATCCTGCTGTTTATGTGCTTCTGTGAAACAAATCTACTAGCACCCAAATATATAATTCAGTCTGGGATTATCCAGGCTACATTAAAAATTCTTCAAATGTCAAGGATAAATATTTAACTAT